ATCACAGCACACACTGGCCCAGCTAACCGATCACAGCACACACTGGCCCAGCTAACCGATCACAGCACACACTGGCCCAGCTAACCGATCACAGCACACACTGGCCCAGCTAACCGATCACAGCACACACTGGCCCAGCTAACCGATCACAGCACACACTGGCCCAGCTAACCGATCACAGCACACACTGGCCCAGCTAACCGATCACAGCACACACTGGCCCAGCTAACCGATCACAGCACACACTGGCCCAGCTAACCGATCACAGCACACACTGGCCCAGCTAACCGATCACAGCACACACTGGCCCAGCTAACCGATCACAGCACACACTGGCCCAGCTAACCGATCACAGCACACACTGGCCCAACTAACCAATCACAGCACACACTGGCCCAGCTAACCGATCACAGCACACACTGGCCCAACTAACCAATCACAGCACACACTGGCCCAGCTAACCAATCACAGCACACACTGGTCCAGCTAACCAATCACAGCACACTTCGTATTTCAGAAGGTGGGCCTTCATTTGATACAGGAACTATTCGAGCCGTTCATGCCAGACTGGGGAGAGAGGTGTTGTAATAATGTAAAATATGTGAAAAATATTGTGTTTTTCTAACAACCTAGTATGAGAGCCTGTTCTAGTACACCCCCAAAACAAAATCAAGACTTTGTAAAAGAGCATAATAGGACCTCTTTAATAAAGGACCAGATCATTGTCCCACTGGGACACCACTGGGTCTTATCCCATGTTAAATGACAGGTGATTTGCCAAAAAATTAATAAATAAAATTCCTACATTTTTAAATAAATAAAATTGCTTTGACAAGATTTGGGAAGTAACAGTAAAAGTTTTTTTTTGTACCTATAATGGAAGTCCATTGGACAAGACATTGCAAGGCTTTTGAAAAGGCTTCATTTACTTGATTAAAAAAAACAAACAGGAAAAAACAGCAATATTGTGAAATATTATTAACATTTTAAATAACTGTTTTCTGTTTTAATATCTGTTAAAATGTAATTTATTTCTGTGATCAAAGCTGTATTTCCAGCATCAATACTCCAGTCTTCAGTGTCACATGATCTTCAGAAATCATTCTAATATTCTGATTTGCTGCTTAAGAAACATCTCTGATTATGATCAATGTTTAAAACAGTTGTGCTGCTTCATATTCTTGTGGAAACTATACGATACATTTTTTTGAGGCTTCTTTGATGACTATAGAATCTTAAAGTTTTAAAGGGACTTTGGGAAAGTTCAAAAGAACAGCATTTATTTGAAATTGAATTTTTTTTAAAAACCGTGTAATGCAAAAGTCATTACTGTCACTTGATTAATTTAATGCATTCTTTCTGAATAAAATTGTTAATTTCTTTTTTAAAAAACTGACCCCAGACTTTTAAACGGTAGTGTACACTTTCTTAAAATAAACAACATTTTTACTACTTAAACTCTGAATCATCTGTCCTTCGGATGAGACGTTAAACCGAGGTCCTGACTCTCTGTGGTCATTAAAAATCCCAGTATGTCTTTCGAAAAGAGTAGAGGTGTGACCTCGGCATCCTGGCCCAATGTGCCCATTGGTCTCTGACCATCATGACCTCCTAACCATCCCCATATCTACTGATTGGCTTCATCACTCTGTCTCCTCTCCACCAATAAGCTGGTGTGTGGTGGGCGTTCTGGCGCACTACGGCTGCCGTCGCATCCTCCAGGTGGATGCTGCACACTGCTGGTGGATGAGGAGATACCCCCTGACAATGTAAAGCGCTTTGGGTGCCTAGAAAAGCGCTATATAAATGTAATGAATTAATGAATTAATTAAATAATATAAAACAACAAACAAAATACAAACTTCAAAATTTTGCTTTTACACCCTCCATAATGCTTAAAAATCAGAAAAATCAGTTACAGTTTGATTAAACTGTATTCACCATTACATATTTGAAATAAAAAAATGATATACATATATATTTTTTATTTTATTTTTTATCTCAGTTCTTGCAATCACACCTCAGCAATATTCAGTATGAAAGCACATCAAAGAAAGGTTTTCCTATGAATTAATTAGAGAACAGTCCATTTCTCTGGGCATTATGTGTCTTTCTTATGAGGAAAATGAGGGAGTTTGTCTGCCCGCATTCCTTTAGGCCATAAAACCAGTGATATCAGCATTGGTTACCATGGAACCAGAGGCCTGTTCTGCCTTTCTGAGGTGTTAGGTGCATTTCGGGGGAAGGGTCCATAGACCCTCGTAATTGGCCATTTGGTTAGGTGATGGGGAGTTAGATATTATTTGTTAAATATAACAAAAAGTTGTGTGTCTGATTGGTCCAAATGCTACAAGGGGCAACATAAACAATCTACAAACTGTAGAACCTGATGAAACTAAATTATGAAAGTGTCCAGCGGCTCACCTCTCCATTAGCTCTCACGCTGCCGGGACAGAGGGGGTTGTGTGGGTCATGTCGTGGGATGTTGTCCTCTGGCTGTTTCTCCACCTGTCCTTTCCACGGACGCTTCATCCGGTGGGCCGAGACCAGAACCCACGAGTCCCGCAGAGGATTGTACCGTAAGTGCTGGTGCTCTGAAACAAAGATCACGATGCAAGAATAATATTCAAGCACCAGCGATGAGTGAAAATTATTAGATTTTTAACTTTGTCACTCAATATGCTAATTTCTTATGAACGATTCAGTGTTTAAACTAGTTATTTCCCAAAGTGTTTGCAAATACAAATAATTGTTATTTATTTATTTAGTCATTTATTAGACGCTTTTATCCAAAGCGACTTACAAACGAGGACAACAGAAGCAATCAATTGTAGTATCAAAACAACTAAAAACAGATCCAAAACTATAAATACTACCTATACACATTTTAAAAATAAAGAGATTAAATAAAAATGACAAATGCATACGACAAAATTTCAAAACTTACACATTTATAAATGCAATATATATATATATATTATTTCATTTCCATTTAGTTTGTTGAAGTATTAAAATAACTCAAATTAAATAAAAACTAAAAACATAATAAAAGACCGATACAGACAGAACAAATTCAGACATGATGTAACTAAAATTAAAATAAATAATAAATAACAAATACAAATAATACAAATCAAATGACATTAGTTTATCAGTAATCCTAAAAACATAAACACTGCCAAACTTACATGCTAAAAAACAACAACTTACTTACACAGAGTAAGAAACAAGAACAGTAATGGTATACACAATGACCTGAAGGATATGTGTATTCAATCAAAGAAAGGTTTTCCTATGAATTAATTAGAGAACAGTCCATTTCTCTGGGCATTATGTGTCTTTCTTATGAGGAAAATGAGGGAGTTTGTCTGCCCGCATTCCTTTAGGCCATAAAACCAGTGATATCAGCATTGGTTACCATGGAACCAGAGGCCTGTTCTGCCTTTCTGAGGTGTTAGGTGCATTTCGGGGGAAGGGTCCATAGACCCTCGTAATTGGCCATTTGGTTAGGTGATGGGGAGTTAGATATTATTTGTTAAATATAACAAAAAGTTGTGTGTCTGATTGGTCCAAATGCTACAAGGGGCAACATAAACAATCTACAAACTGTAGAACCTGATGAAACTAAATTATGAAAGTGTCCAGCGGCTCACCTCTCCATTAGCTCTCACGCTGCCGGGACAGAGGGGGTTGTGTGGGTCATGTCGTGGGATGTTGTCCTCTGGCTGTTTCTCCACCTGTCCTTTCCACGGACGCTTCATCCGGTGGGCCGAGACCAGAACCCACGAGTCCCGCAGAGGATTGTACCGTAAGTGCTGGTGCTCTGAAACAAAGATCACGATGCAAGAATAATATTCAAGCACCAGCGATGAGTGAAAATTATTAGATTTTTAACTTTGTCACTCAATATGCTAATTTCTTATGAACGATTCAGTGTTTAAACTAGTTATTTCCCAAAGTGTTTGCAAATACAAATAATTGTTATTTATTTATTTAGTCATTTATTAGACGCTTTTATCCAAAGCGACTTACAAACGAGGACAACAGAAGCAATCAATTGTAGTATCAAAACAACTAAAAACAGATCCAAAACTATAAATACTACCTATACACATTTTAAAAATAAAGAGATTAAATAAAAATGACAAATGCATACGACAAAATTTCAAAACTTACACATTTATAAATGCAATATATATATATATATTATTTCATTTCCATTTAGTTTGTTGAAGTATTAAAATAACTCAAATTAAATAAAAACTAAAAACATAATAAAAGACCGATACAGACAGAACAAATTCAGACATGATGTAACTAAAATTAAAATAAATAATAAATAACAAATACAAATAATACAAATCAAATGACATTAGTTTATCAGTAATCCTAAAAACATATAAGAAATGCTTATAAAAACTGAAACAGAAGCAATAATAATATAAAAACTCGAAGCACCTATTTCAAAACATTGTAGTAAACAATAGTATTTAACTAAAAATGTATTTTTCTTATAAATGATTCCGCGAAGGGACTTTAGAATCGATGCCTAACTGTTGAATCAGTTTGAACCGGATCATTGACATAAGCTGTCCGAACGAACCGATTCTATAAAATGATTCGGTTAAATCACGTGATCCGCTGCACCGCCAGCCATCACGTGACTCCTCAAGCAAGCGTACTATTTCCAGTGGATTCAAACCACGGGAGTATGAAACAAAAAGAGGGCATTAGGTCACATCACATGTAGATTTGTCTCCGAATCATGCGCACACGGTTCAAAAAGCTTAGAGAATAAATATGCATATGTATCAATATGTGAAAACATTCCTCACCTTTAGGATCAAGCATAGGTTTACTGACACCGTCCATCTTACCGCTTAATAAAACCCCCTTGCAATTACGTTATCTATCCGATCACCTGGTAAAGATGTTTAACATGTATTCATTGATTGCGAGTTTTAGAGTTTGGAGTTGATCTTCCTCTCGAAGTGTCCTCGAGTGGACAGTGCTGCGCACATTAGACGCAGCATGTGGCTTGTAAAGATGAATAACCCGAACAGCGCTGGCACTGTTTACAGGCGCACATAAATAATACCGCATATATAAACACATTCATTTATTCGAGATACTTCACTGTATCCGCAAAGCGCGCTGGCTGGTAGCTTTTGCGCATTTTAGTGGCAATGTTGATGATAATGATGCACCCTCGCGCCGCCTTCTTCCGTGCAGCGCCCTGAGCGATTTGATTGGACTAGAGCTCGCCGTTTGTGGCAGCCGATTGGTTGCCGCCGGCGTGACGTCACCTCACGTCAGCGTCCGTCCAGACAGTGTGGCATGCCGTGCGTCTGAATGAAGTCTGTTTCACGTCTCGGGCAGCGTTTTACTTTTAAACAGTCGTTTGTGGTCGGGTCACGATGTCTTTAATAAGAATTATTTTAAAAATGGTGGTGGTTCTTGGCTTTCTGGTGTTGACCGTTCAGTTTCTAAGATATTGGATGGCAAATAAACAATATGTTTTTACAAAAGAAGACGTTGCCAGGTTAGCCAGACAGTATGCAGGTGAGTGAACACACATAACCTGTTTTTATTATAACATATATATATATATATACAATAGTACTATTACCAATATACACTTCCTAGCAACGCAGAGCTTCAAAGTTGTAATCAGATGGTCATATAGTCTATCTAAAAGAGTTGTTGACAATATATTTTGATTAAATACAACATAACAGTCCAGTAATGACTTTTCCTAACTTGTCACTTGTCTGCTAGATGTCTAAACCAAAGTAAAACTACAAACCCAATTCCAAAAAAGTTGGGACACTGTACAAATTGTGAATAAAAACAGAATGCAATGATGTGGAAGTTTCAAATTTCAATATTTTATTCAGAATACAACATAGATGACATATCAAATGTTTAAACTGAGAAAATGTATAATTTTAAGGGAGTTATCAGTGCTCAGTTCAGAAGCCTGCATCTCTGATGGTATGGGGTTGCATGAGTGCGTGTGGCATGGGCAGCTTACACCTCTGGAAAGGCACCATCCATGCTGCAAGGTATATCCAAGTTCTAGAACAACATATGCTCCCATCCAGATGTCGTCTCTTTCAGGGAAGACCTTGCATTTTCCAACATGACAATGCCAGACCACATACTGCATCAATTACAACATCATGGCTGCGTAGAAGGATCCGGGTACTGAAATGGCCAGCCTGCAGTCCATATCTTTCACCCATAGAAAACATTTGGCGCATCATAAAGAGGAAGATGCGACAAAGAAGCCCTAAGACAGTTGAGCAACTAGAAGCCTGTATTAGACAAGAATGGGACAACATTCCTATTCCTAAACTTGAGCAACTTGTCTCCTCAGTCCCCAGACGTTTGCAGACTGTTATAAAAAGAAGAGGGGATGCCACACAGTGGTAAACATGGCCTTGTCCCAACTTTTTTGAGATGTGTTGATGCCATGAAATTTAAAATCAACTTATTTTTCCCTTAAAATGATACATTTTCTCAGTTTAAACATTTGATATGTCATTATGTTGTATTCTGAATAAAATATAGAAATTTGAAACTTCCACATCATTGCATTCTGTTTTTATTCACAATTTGTACAGTGTCCCAACTTTTTTGGAATCGGGTTTGTAGATGTCTAAGCTGTGTGTGTGTGTGTGTGTGTGTGTGCGCGCCACAGGCCAGGACCACGAGCAAGCCTTCTCTAAGGTGGTGGTGGAGCTGAGGAAGAGGTATCCGGGTCACATCCTGCCCGATGAGGACCTGCAGTGGGTGTTTGTGAATGCGGGCGGCTGGATGGGCTCCATGTGTCTGCTGCACGCCTCTCTAACAGAGTATGTGCTGCTGTTCGGGACGGCCGTGGACACGGGTGGACATTCAGGTGGGTCAAGAACAGCTCCAGGCCCTATCTGTCCTCAAAAACTCAACTCAAACTTTATTTATAAAGCTATACAGAGAAAATAAAATTGGTCCCAGAATAGAGCCCTGAGGAACCCCACAGACAAGAGGAGCAGTAGAAGAAGAGTAATCACCTAAACTGACTGAAAAAGTCCTATCCTTCAGATAAGAAGAGAACCATTTTAAGGCTAAGCCCTGAACACCAACATGATTCAAAATCTAAAGAAAGACATGAAAAGATATAGGCCTATTTTGCTTAAAGAACACGAGGGCTACTGTAAGATCATTATGATTTTTTTTTTAAATTTGCACTGTGACTATTATTATTATTATTATTATTTTAAATTAAGCACTACAATCGAATTAACTTGTTGCAAAAAGAAAAACTCACTGCCTTTTGTCAAAACAGTGATGTATTCTTAAAAGTTGTATGACAATGTTTCTTTAATACCATAAAAATACTGTATCACTCTATTGATAATCTAATGGGAATCACCATTAACAAAAACTGAAACTGAAATAAAATAAGTAAATAAGTTTGAAGTATTACTACAATTAATAAAACTGAAGAAAGAAAAAAATTAAACCATTTTAAGGCTAAGCCCTGAACACCAACATGATTCAAAATCTAAAGAAAGACATGAAAAGATATAGGCCTATTTTGCTTAAAGAACACGAGGGCTACTGTAAGATCATTATGATTTTTTTTTTTAATTTGCACTGTGACTATTATTATTATTATTATTATTATTTTAAATTAAGCACTACAATCGAATTAACTTGTTGCAAAAAGAAAAACTCACTGCCTTTTGTCAAAACAGTGATGTATTCTTAAAAGTTGTATGACGATGTTTCTTTAATACCATAAAAATACTGTATCACTCTATTGATAATCTAATGGGAATCACCATTAACAAAAACTGAAACTGAAATAAAATAAGTAAATAAGTTTGAAGTATTACTACAATTAATAAAACTGAAGAAAGAAAAAAATTACATTTTTGTAATTAGTTTTCTTTCTTTTTTGTTTTAGTAATTAAAAAAGTTTAACAATTATTTGTCATTTGAAAAAAAATAAAGATGAATATTAAATGACAAACATAAACTTTAGCATTTAAATGAAAATTAAAAATGTTGCCTGTGCTACTAACTGGAATAAAATAAGTTTAAATAAGTACTCGTATTATTAAAAAATAAAACTGAAATGAAGTAAATTAAAACCAAAAACATAAAATAAAGCTAATTCAAAATCTTAATAAATACTATAATTGTATATAAATGATACTAAAATAAAACTGCTATAATTTACCCACTGTATATATATATATATATGACTTATTTTATTTATTTACTTATTTATGCATGCATGCTTTTACAGTAAATGCAACATTGACTCTAAATGTGACTGTTTTTTTTGTTTGTTTGTTTTTTCCACATTAGGATTTCTTGTATTTTCACATTGCTTTCATATTTGTATCTCCTTCAGGTCGCTACTGGGCAGAAATATCAGACACTATCATTTCTGGAACGTTCAGGCAATGGAAAGAAGGAAGCACTAAAAGCGAGACTTACTATCCAGGTACTACAACCATACGTCACCAACACACAGGTCAGTCTAACAGTGCTCTCAGATCTGAGCCGTAACGCTTGCTTGTGCTTGTTCTGGCAGGAGACAATATCGTGCATGCGGTGGGAGAGGCCACGTCAGTGCAGTGGAGCGCCGGGACATGGATGGTGGAGTACGGCCGAGGATTCATTCCCTCCACGCTGGGCTTCGCTCTGGCCGACACCGTCTTCAGCACCCAGGACTTTCTAACTCTATTTTATACTGTACGTGTTTATGTGAAGGGTATGATCCTGGAGGCTAGCACTTTCCTCACTGACTCCGGCGTCCTCTGAAAACCACACAACGCCGCACGTCACGTCCCTTTGTTATTCCGAAAATTGATCATAACATCAGGTGTTCGTTTGTTAATGGAGAACCCACGACATTTTGAATTGTCTGTATGGAAAGCACTTAATGTAATTACTTTTCCAATGATTAAAGTTTTATTTTCCATACTGTACAAAGAGTTTATCAAATGTCTTTTCTAAAAGTGAAACATATTTGTTGGTCAACAGACTGTTTGTGGTCCAGTGTCTGTGTCTGAACATGGCAAGATGTTTTAGCACCTCAGTATTGTCCAGAAACGGTTAATACGAGGTTTAGATTAAAAATCAAGATATTTTCCGTATTTCCAGATCACGGTCTTTGCACTTTCAATATACTGTGAATGTTAATTGTTGCTTAGTTTTCCATAAATTACAATTGCTGTTCAAAACCGATGTGTCTATGTTCAGCCAGAATAAAACCATTAATTAGTATTGTCGAATAAGTCTTATATTTAATTTATTTATTCAATTAATGTATTTGCTTAAGTTATTTAGAAATGAATTTCTTTTGTGTTTTATGTATCTGTCAAATAGTGAATGTGACAACAATATATATATATATTATTTTCTATAATGTACAAAGAGTTTATTTTTAAAAACAAAAACTTTTTTGAAAATGTTGAAAACAAGTTTTTGCTGCTTCATATTTTTGTGGAAACTGTGATACAATACCATTCAAAAGTTTCGGGTGGGTAAAAAGGAAGAAAAAAAAGCTATAGGCTACACGTGGTCTCCAAAAAAAGAAAAAGTAAGCAAAAATATAAGGATCATATGACACTGAAGACCGGAGTAATGATGCTGAAAATGCAGCTTTGATCACAGAAATAAACAATATATTCACACAGAAAACAGTTATTTTAAATTGTAAAAATATTTCAAAATATTAATAATTTTACTGGATATTTTTAATCAAATATATGTAGCTTTGGTGAGCATTATTCCAATTTTGTTTGTGTATGTAATTTTGTACATTATTATAAACATAATGCATATATAGTCTTTTCTGCTGGTGATCAGCGGCAATATCAGGGACTCGCTCTCTCTCTCTCACACACACACACACACACTCATCTCAGCTCGCTGCAGGCTCATGTCAGCTGTGTGTAAATGTATCAAGTTCATGACATTTCTATAATGTTTCTGCATGTACATTAAACAGTGATTTGTTAAGCAATATATAATGTAATAACACTTGTTTATAAAAGTTCAGTATCATTTTTTTTGTTTCTTTATAGGAGAGAGGCGGCTTGTAAGTTGTAAAGAGTTGTGGTAAAAGAAGATAAAGCCCTTCTTTTACCACAAGACTCATGAGGACTCTGTATCATTTCTTTTTAATCACCATGTATGTGTATTAATTTGTGAAAGGACGTCATCATCCAGTCACAGACTCCCAAGAATCAACTCCACCCTGCGACCTCCATCCAGAAACACTGTTAAAAAGACTGAATCTAAACTAACAGGAAGAGACAACAGCAAATCCAGTGTAAGTCTACAAACATCTTTTTTGTTTGAACAAACTACTGTATCCTATATACACAATAAATAGTCACTTTGCATGATCTGTCCAGGAAGGAGAGCCGCTGACGCCTGCGGACACATGCACAGATTTCTCAGTAGGTCAACTGTGTTTCATTCAGGTTCAAAGCGACTTAAGCTCTGTTGGAAGCTGTTGTGGTATTCTGTTGATTAACACAGAAAATAATTCTGAAGCATCCCTCATCCCTTGTGTCTGACAGGAGCGTTTGCTTGTTCATTGGGATGAACAGTGATATGAGGGAATTATTAGCAGAGTAAGTCGATGTTTATGAAACTGCTTCCTTGTGTGGCAGTTTGTTTGAAGCTATTTTAAGGAAACATGATAAAGTCTGTCATTTTACCATAAAAGTAATAATAAAAATACACTTAGCATGAAGACAGTGAAGCCTTTTCAGGACTACTAAGATTTTTTTTTTCAATGTGATATTTTAATGACAGTTAAGCATATTCCCCCACAATCCTCATAACCATAAACATTTCTTCTTGTTTTTTTGTTGATAATTTTCATTTTTCTGTGATGATTCTTATTAAATTCTTACAGTGATACAGTACAGAAAATCAGTCTGTATTGACAATCATATTTTAATATCACTGCTTGAATCTAAATTACTGCCCACACACTGAATAAAGATTCACAGTAAAAATTCTAGAAAATAAATTATATACACACACAATGGCAAAGTGAACAAAGTACAGTAAATTAAAAGAAAATGTACTTTGCAAATAAAATAAAAATAGAATATTTATATTTAAGAATATATATTGTATTGATAAAATCATATTTTAAAATTACCATTTGAATCTAAATTACTGCCCACACACTGAATAAAGATTCAGAGTAAGAATTCTAGTAGAAAATAAATTATATACACACATTTGCAAAATTAACAAAGAACAGTAAATTTTAAAAACTGCACTTTGCAAATGTAAAAAAATAAAATAGATATGTATTTAATAATATATATATATATAAATTTTCACTGCACTTTATATATATATATATAAAGTGCAGTGAAAATTATTTAAAATTTTACATTTTAATAAAAAAAATTCTACTAGACTTTTATTCAGCGTGTGGACTTTTTTTTTTGATAATTTGATTTTTGTTTCATGCTCTTGAAGCATTACATGTGTAACTGAGTGCAACATTCTATTTCTATTTTTGCTTTAAAATCAATTAATTACAGGTTATTCTTTAGTTTGGGTTAAACAAATCAATTTTGCTTGGTTGGAACAGCAGCTACGCTAACTATGTTTGTATTTGTTTCTCTGTTTTTGGTAACTAGGATTTACACAAGCTTCAGTCTGGATCCAGAACACCTGAGAAGAGATGATGCAACCCCTCAGAGGACCTCAGATGATGCCAACCCTGAAACAACTTACAGAACTACCACATTTTGCTATAAGTTTGATTGCATCATATAATAACTGCTGTTAATATTGTTCATCATCTGTTTTATTACGTCTTATATTGATTTTTCCATACTGCTGGTTCGTCTGGTCAGAGGAGAACTGGCCCCCCGACTGAGCCTGGTTTCTCCCAAGGTTTTTTCTCCATTCGGTCACCGATGGTGTTTTGGTTCCTTGCCGCTGTCGCCTCTGGCTTGCTTAGTTGGGGACACTTAATTTCCAGCGTTATCGTTGACATGATTGCAAAGATATTATTTAAACTGAGCTGGATGTTGACATGACTGAATTCAATGATGAACTGTCTTTAACTGAAACATTAGTGTTTACTATTGTCATTTTGCATTATTGACACTATTTTCCTAATTAATGCTGTTCAGTTGCTTTGACACAATCTGTATTGTTAAAAGCGCTATATAAATAAAGGTGACTTGACTTGACTATTTCACTATATGAGAATTGGGAGAGGAAATGTCATAAAAATAATTATAAAAATAATGTCACAATGCAAAATATCTTGATTGGTCTAAAATAAGCTGCATCTTCATACATTTGATTTTGATGTTTCACCGATTTATACCATATTTTACATGTAAAGATAAAAATAGGACAATCAGATATATTTCTGATAATTAAAAAATATATATTGTGCAAATCCAACATTTATTCAACACTAGAGAGCAGCATACAGTCTGTTTTATAATATAGTGTGACACATCCCAGTATCATTCTCTGTGTGTGTGTGCGCGCGTGAGTGTGTGTGTGTGTGTGTAGATACATACAGAAGGTGGAACATGTATTATTGAAGCACTCGATTTCATCTTTCTATCCTGTCTCTCCATGAAGGATATCTATTTACACAACCCCAACGTGCGCTGGGACGACATTATAGGCCTGGAGGATGCCAAGCGATTAGTCAAAGAAGCTGTCATCTACCCCATTAAGGTGCTTGGCTGCTAAACACTTTGGTATTTCTCAAGCTGCCGCCTGCCTTCGATTCTGAATACATCTCCACTAAAGGCTAGAGGAAAGCTGGGCTCAGGGTTATTTCTTAAGATGACATGAAATCTATACCTGAATACCATCCAATCTGACCGCTCACATATCTGGCTCATCTCTGGCCTCTCTAGTGATGACTACAAATCTACAATACGCTCCTGACAAACAGGAAATGCAAACGTTATCCGTCTTCCCCGACTCAATCATGTGGTGAAGGAGCTTGTTGTCGTACAGAATTACCTGGAAATTCTGCTTCCACTGCTTATTTTTGCTTGTAGCACATAAAGTAAGAATTGTATGAAGAACATGATTCACATTATGATGAAAGATATTTTGAGGCTCAGTTTTGTCAATACTTGAACCTTTTCATGTATTAGATGAAGTGGAGTCTGACAGTTAATTGGTCGATGAAAATATTAGATTTTGTAATTCACCTTAACGTAAGGTCAATAAACACTATTGATTTTGGTCAGTTTTTAGTGGTGTCTGGTAAGGCATCTTCCAGAGAAGTGGTGTGTGCATGCTGTTATTTAACAAACGTTATCCAAAATCTCCACTCAAAATACCCTAGCAACCAATTATAACACCTCAGTAGCCAACTAATAACCACTCAGAACACCTTATCAATGCCATAACAATCAGAGCACCACAGCAATAGTCTAGCAACACCCTTGTAACCACACAGAACATTTTAACAACCATCTAGCAACCACCCAAAACACCTTATCAGTGCTATAACAATCAGAGCACCACAGCAATAGCCAAGCAACACTCTTACATGCACTCAGAAAACCTTAACAGCTGCCTAGCAACACCCTAGTAACCACCCAAAACATTATAGCAATCAACTAGCAACCACCCAAAACACCTCATCAATGCCATAACAATCAGATCACCACAGCAATAGCAAAACGGCACACTTACAGATACTCAGAAAACCTTAACAGCTGCCTAGCAACACCCTAGTAACCACCCAAAACATTATAGCAATCAACTAGCAACCCCCCAAAACACCTCATCAATGCCATAACAATCAGAGCACCACAGCAATAGCAAAACGGCACACTTACAGATACTCAGAAAAACTTAACAGCTGCCTAGCAACACCCTAGTAACCCAGAACATTGTAGCAACTATCCAGAACACCCTATCAATGGCTCTTTGCAAAGCATTCAGATTGTGACACCCATAGAAACTTCCTTGTAATGCCCTAGTAACCATCCAGAACACCCTACCACATGTTTAGCTACCACCTAGCAATGGACTATCAGTCAGGCATGCACAACTCCACTGCAACCAGCAAGAAACCACCCAGAACACCCTAGGAGCTCACTAGCAACCACATAAAGCACCACAGCAACAGCCAGCCTAGCAACGGACATACAACAACTTAGAAATTCTTAGAAACCACCTAGCAATGCCCTAGTAACCACCCAGCAACATGCCTAACAACCTAACAATCCTAGCAACCATGACAAAGCCCTATAGCAACTTGCCTAACAAACCTGACAACCACCTAGGAAAAATGAGCAACTTAAGAGCACCTTAAAACCACCTAGCAATGCCTTAGTAACCACCCAGAACACCCTAGTAACTGGTGCCACTCAGAAAAATTTAGCAACCACCTAGCAACGCTCTAGTAACTACTCTGAACATTATAGCAACCAACCAGCAACAATTCGGAATAGCATTTCAATGCTAACCACCTAGATTACAACATCCTTACAAACTTCCGCGAGCACTTACTTAGCAACCACATAGCAATGCACTAACAGCCACCCAGAACTCAACCAGCTAGAAACAACCCAGAACACCCTATAAATGCTCCACCAACCACCCACACCAATGCAGCTCTCCAGCAACCACAAAGAGCACAATGGCAATAGCCAGCCTAGCAACACACTACAGAACATGTTAGAAAATGCCTAGCAATACCCTAATAACCACCAGAAGAACCTAGTAACTGCTTAGCAAACACCCAGAACACTCTAGTAATATGCCTAACAATGACAACCTCGTAACCATGGCAAAGCACCATAGCAAGCTCCCAGCAGCTGCTCAAAATACCCAAGCGACTACCCATAACACACTAGTAAATAATTAATAACCACTCAGAACAATGCTAACAACCAGAGCATCACAGCAATAACCTAGCAACAAAGTTACAGCTATCCAAAAACACCCTAGCACATGCTTAGCAACCACCCAGCAATGCACCCAGAATTCAATATCAGCTCTCTAAAAAACACATAGAGCAGCATAGCAACAACCTAATAACACACTCAGCAATTTTGAACACCTTAGAAACTGCCTTCTAATGCCCTAGTACCCATTCAGAATACCCAAGCAACACAAATCCTAGTAACCATGGCAAAGCGCAATAGTGACCACCTAGAGATTTACTAACAGCCACTTAGAAAACTGTAGTAGCTGCCTAGCAACACCCTAGTGACCACCACCCAAAACATTATAGCAACCAACTGGCAGTTGGTTGCCAGAACAACCCATCAAGGATCCAACAACCACCTTAAAGTGTCTTAGCAACCACCACAGAGAACAACAGCGAAAACCTAACAACATACTTAAAGTCACAAATGGCAAAGCAACATTCTTGTAATCACCCAGAACAACTTAACAACTGTTTAGAAGTACCACTTAGCAACCACCCAGATAACCTAGTAACACCCCAACAACCACCTAAAGCACCATAGCAACAATCTAGTTCTAACCACCTATCCTCTTTTCAGTATCCACATCTGTTCACTGGAATTCTGTCACCATGGAAGGGTTTACTCCTGTATGGACCACCAGGTCTAACCTTTCTGTTTTCTCTTTGTATAATACAAATGAATATATGTGAATATTAAATTCCTTAATATAAAATATAACTCATTTTGTGTGCAATATGATCTTAATGTGAAGACTGCCCCCCCAAAACAAGGCACAGGAAAGACGATGCTGGCCAAAGCTGTAGCCACAGAGTGCAACACAACGTTCTTCAACATCTCCACATCCAGTATTGTGAGCAAGTGGAGGGGAGACTCTGAGAAGCTGGTTCGGGTCAGAAGAGACTCGAGGACATAATTTTCTCAGATTTGTGTTATTTTATTGCTTTATGAAATGTCTGGGGGAAAGGTTGCGCTCAGCAGAACACTGATTTTCCTCATGTTATGATTCTCTGCAGGTTTTGTTTGAGCTGGCAAGATATCACGGCCCATCCACCATTTTCTTGGATGAGCTGGAATCAGTGATGAGCCAGCGAGGGGTTGGCCAAGGGTGAGCATGAGCCAGTAACTTTCACTGACAGTAATACTATCAAACAACAGTGCACAATCCATAACTATTAAATTACACAATTTCTGTTTTGCTCTTTTACATCTCTTTAAGAGGTGATCATGAGGGCAGTAGAAGGATGAAGACAGAGTTACTTGTTCAGATGGATGGACTGGCACGATCAAACGATCTTGTGTTTGTGCTTGCTGCCTCAAACTTACCTTGGTGAGGAGTGATTGTGAGGAAACTATATAATTTTCTTCTCTTATATGGCTTTCTTTATAATCGTTCTAATCTGTCTTCAGGGAGTTGGACCATGCCATGCTGATGGAGAAACGGATACTGGTGGGTCTCCCATCTGCCCCTGCCAGACAAGCCATGATCAGTCATTGGCTGCCTCCAGTTAGTAACACAGGTGGGGTGGAGCTGCGGACGGAGCTGAACTATGACTCGCTGGCACAGGTGAGAGAAACCATGTGACTGAGGTACATCCACTAGATCAGGGGTTTCCAAATTCGGTCATGGAGGGCCGGTGTCCTGCAGAGTTTAGCTCCAACCCTAATTAAACCTGAACCAGCTAAGTAAGGTCTTCCTAGGCATGCTAGAAGCGTCTAGGCAGGTGTGTTGAGGCAAATTGGAGCAAAACTCTGCAGGACACCGGCCCTCCAGGACCGAATTTGGAGACCCCTGCACTAGATAGATAGATAGACAGACAGACAGTAGGGCTGTCAAAAAAATTCAAATTTCTAATATTCGTCCGAATTTAAAATGTAAAAATCTACTTTCGAATGCAAAAACATTGCATTCGAGTTTTAGGTGTGCGTTAAGGAGGCAGCCTTATCAGTGGTGCACGAGATGCGATGACGATGTAAGTGTCATTGCATTTTAATGTTTTTGTTAGCCTATCCAGTTAAAGCCACTAGATGTGGCACTGCTGAGTTGTTAATTACAAATATTGCGGGAAAAGGGAACATCAATGCGGAGAAGATCTTGTTTACATCAAACCTGAAGCCAAGCCGTTCACACAGAACACATATTACGAGCATTTTCTAGAGGGACATCTATCACTGTTGCACTAGCGTCTCGCACAAAAGAGCCGCATGTTTAGAAAGTCATGTAAAATTAATGCAAGTTCAACTTTGAAAAAACATATCTCGAGACTTTATGGCTGGGGTTTTTTCCCCATCCCACTGCAACTCGTGTTTTTAAATGAAAAATGTACTCTGTGTGATTGGCTTTCGGCCCTTTGTATTAAACTATGCATACATACATGACGCCATTTGTTTATAGTTGTTTAAGCAACTTAATTAATTATAATTGGTTTATAAACATTTTAAACATTATGTTATCTAGTGGCCTCAGGAGAGAATCCAAAAGCTTTTCTTCACCCTAACTGAAATTATGCATTTTAAATTCGAATATAATTAGAATTTTGATATCCAAGTAAAAAATTTGAATTTCGTTTTTCAGCCATTTTGACAGCCCTAATAGACTGTACTATTGAGACAATTGTACCAATATGTTCACGTCCTGATATTTCAGGAGACAGGAGGTTACTCTGGGTCAGATATCAGGTTAGTGTGTAAGGAGGCTGCTATGAGACCTGTGCGAAAAATCTTTTGACGCCCTTGAAAATCACATTGAAGGTAAGAAATATGCCACGTCCCGCTCTGAACGACATTAAACTGCTGTTTCATCACGAAATCCTGTTTTGCCCACAATTCACAGTCTCCATTACACCATGCATCGTCACAGGTCAGTCCAATATGCCGATTATTGAACTAGAAACTGTGACCACAGCAGATTTCCTGGAGGTGATTTCTCACACCAGACCGTCAGTCTGATGGAGAGATACTCAGCCTGGGAGAAAGAGTACGAGTCTGTCTGACACATGATCTCAGCACAATACATGGATTGTTATTACAGCAACCAACAAATGTTTTTATCGCACTACTACCTACTCTTTTTATAATGCCATGCTGTGCTTCGTTATTAGTCTCAGTATAAAAACATTTTAAAGGAAATAAGACTGCAATCAATTGAAGGTGAGCATATTAAAAACTATTTCAAAATATAGTTTGTGTTCATAGTTCACTTTTTGATTGTGTTTCATTTCTCATGAGCTAGACTGATTCATAATTTAAGTACACATCAAAATAAATGCATATGGAGTGCAGCAACGTTATAATGGACATTCAAACAATAATCAAACTACACCATACTAACATTACTTTTTTTTTTCTTTTTTGTCAGTTGTCCGGTTATTTAGATCCAAAGAGATGTTCAAGTATATGATTGACAGCCTCTGGAAAGCTGTCACACGTCAGGTGAGGAGAGGGGTTAATTTTACCCTCATCACCAGGTCTGTATTTACCTGCAAAAAATGTAAAGATGATTACTGTTATGCAGCAAAAAAAATAGCTACTATATTATGAAAACACAATTGCATATTAAGAATGAGGCCTACCAGTTTTCACTAAAATTCCCAGCATTCCTGGATTATGTGCCCCACCAACATCATCTCTGGCATCCTGTGCAATAGCATCGGTGATCAGTGTTTTTTTTTCTTAGCAATTTACATTTTAAAGCAAACTAATTCAGTCATAAATGTAGCGAATTTAGCTCAACGGCAGGAAATATGAATAATTAACCATAACTAGTTATAATTAACTATTCATATTTTAGATCCGCTGTAGATATTTAGCTGACCACTCAGGGTCAACTGTCTTGTCAATTCTAAGAACGTTAATTTCCTGGTTAAGGGAAATAACTTTCTTACTGTACAATTCTACCAAGCTTGTAACGTAAATCTGCATGATTAGTGACTCCGGTTATGAGCAAACAATGAACACGTCAAGTGTGATACAAGTAAGGTTTTATTAACTACAAACACTTAACCTAGTCTAACATACTACATAAACACATAAACTGGTCTAACATCCTACATACACACATAAACTGGTCTAACATACACATACACACACACACACACACACACACACACACACACACACATACACATCAGAGACACACTCACAAAAGTTTAACTCAGCATAGAAAGAGGCATAAAGAATGGATTTTATGGAACACTTTGCATGTATATTCAACAGATCAAAGCCTTCAGGGATACGTCAGATTCTGAGTTCAAACACACCTTGTAGAAAGGTGTAACTGATACTTAATGCATCAATTAAAACGACTAAGTTTGATACTTGCGAGTCTCAGCTGTCTGAAAGAGATTCCTGATGCAATCTTAAGGCCCCAAGATCTTGCTGAAGTTGGTTGATGAGAAAGAACCAGTTTG